GATCAAGAACACATCCGGGGATTTGAAGTGGACTTGGCTAGATGCGAACTTTGAATTGGAACAGTACTTCGGCAGCGACTGATGACGTTTCACAAGTCCACAAGAACACAAGTACAGACAAGTACGCATATTGAGAAACGGCTAGTGTCATGGAAGGATATTCTTCTTCTTGTTAGATTACAAACTAATTTTTTGCCATTACCGCCACCTGTTGTTTAATCACGCATCTTGCAGCTAACGGTTCACTGACGTAAAGAAGTGGGTTGACACACCCCATGATGGAGCAAGACGTGCCGGTGTTACGGATTAAATGGTGACCGTGTTAACTGGTGACCAACTTCCTGTTCAGATCACCCGCTGCAGATGTGTGCAGATCGTAGATTCGTAGGAGCAGATTCGTCGATTCTGAAAGCACAAACTGACGCGACATGAAGCTGTCTAATAAAAACGCAGACTTGCTCTTTACATGCCTTTCGTATTCTTGTAAAGATGACAAAAGTATTGCTATGAACTCAAAGAAATAACCATCTTTCTACGGGTTTCGAACGCGCGCAGAACACCGTGACAAACATGTTAAGCTTTCTCAGTGCTAGCTACCTGTTTAATACAGTCTCGGCGTCACTTTATGCAGCTGTATGAATCAAAACATTGTGTCCGTGTTAACTTGTGACCCCTGCGTGTTTCTTACTTCAAAAACTCATCATGTCGCTATTTTACACATTTTATAGCTGGTGTATGATTTCAAAGCACATAGCACTCTGTAGTCCGACGATCACGATGGAACATAATTGAGGCTAACTCACTAACGTTACAGTTGTATACAACTGCAATGGTTAAACTGGTTATTAATGAAAACATGGTTCTGTGTCGTCAGATGTCTCAGGTGATGAATATAATAACGTTTTTTTTTTTTTGACTTTATTACTTTGTCGTTGTAATCCTGAATGAAATGTAAATAACACATTGTAGATGCTTATAAAGATTACATTGTAAAGGTGAGTTATCTTGTCATTACAGCAGTTTTTGGAATGTTAACTTTATTGTCAGGTAAACGTGCTATTATTGTATGTAAACAATTTAAAAATGTGTACAATTGTTAACAAGCATTTATTAAAGTACCTTTTTTTTTGGACACTCCATCTAGGTCAAACAGTCTACTTTGTTTCACGGACACACCTGTATTACAGTTTGCATACTCTTATTTTTTCCTTGCCAAAACAAAAATTATTTATTTTGTTATAAGGGGAAAAACCCCGATTATATAAGCTAACTATCAAAATATAACAAATCCCAACTGAAAATGGAAATCAGTCTGTCAAAACAGGTGCTCGTCTGATTATGACCATATAGGCTACTCAATCAAAGCACAATGTTGTGGAATTAAAAAAAAAGTAATGGCATTATGACAAACGCAGTGTCTGTCATTATGTTTCAGTGTTTGTCATTATGTTTATTTCAGAAAACAATATGAAATCCATAGTTTTTTGTCTCCTTTCTTTCACCCCTAATTGCTTGTTGACTATTTAATGTATGCAGCTTTACATCATACTATCTACAAGTGCATGAGTCATTACCTGAATCTACAGTCCGAACCTGCTTTTTGTGAGTGTCAGAGTGTTGATAGGGCCCATATGGGTGTTGACGGTGCCCCCTTAGTTTGTGCCCTACACTGACCGCATATTCTGCATGTGGGAAAAGTGGTACTGGAGTCGGTGCAGTAAAAGCTGTACATGAAGCTTTGAGTTAAATGGAAACATAACATTGCTGCCTTTGATCAACAACAAATCTAAACTAAATGGCCTGTGGAAGCTATTTCCCACCAGGAATAAAACATTATTAATTGTGAGTTTTTACACTAAATTCAGACTTTTCCTGTCTGCTAAAAGAAAAACACCTGACAAAAGGCAGAATGTGACATATAAATAGAAATTGACCGAAAAACAGTCTGAAATCTGAGAGAAATGTACAATTACCCTTTTATATGTTCAGTTCAATAAAGAACCTTTCATAGGTTCCACATAAGGGGGGAAAACATAATGATGCAGTCTGGCACACATCCTTACTCCTGCCCTGTTCTTATGCCTTCTCCTGGTCCATCTATGACTCTCCTTCTTAACCTCCTCTTGTCTCTTACTCAGATGTTTCTCTCTCTGCTTCTCTGTGTTGAACATCCACGCTTATCAGAAGCAATTCAGACACTCTGTGTGTGTGTGTGTGTGTGTGTGTGTGTGTGTGGGTGTGTGTGTGGCCAAGTAATGTGAAGAACTTCAACACCTGACTATGTGTCCGACTGAGAGTGGGATCAGCTATTTCTCAATATTTCACTCATTTGTTATCTAAAACTACTTATCTGGTGTCTCAGTAATGTAATTTCCCCCCAGTACTTCTAAGCACCTGTTGTTGCTAAAGTATAGAGGCTTTGTAATATATTGACGGTCTTGAAAATAGCTATGAATTTCTGACATGCTGTATTTAAGTGGTGTAAAACACATTTTTAACATTTTAGAAACTGGTTAAATCACTGAATTTTCAGTCAAAACAACATTAACTCTGTTAAGGGTGCAGCACTTGAAAGATGTAAATGACTATGTTAAAAGATCATAGTGGTTTGATTATAACTTTACAAAAAAGCCACACTGGACAGTAATGAAACAGTGGTAATGTACATAAGGAAGGACGCCTCATAATAAAAGTATGTTGTGATGTAGCGGTACATTGTTAGGGGTATTCTTACATGTATAATACAAATATTTTACACCATGAAAAATGTGTAATAATTATGAGTGAGTGACAACTTCCACGGGAGTTATTCCCCATGCAAACCTTAAACCACTGGAAATGGTTTCTGCATTTTTGAGAGTTTTGCTGTAAGAAAATATATACAGCTGGTCATTTTACAGGTGATTGCATTATAACATTGCTGCCAGTAAAACTTTTTTTTTTTTTTGCTAACACAAGCACTGGCTAACAAATTCCCAGTGAAATCATTGCTCACAGGTGCTATAAATCTGGGAAGACATTTAGCACTTTCAAGGCAATGTGCCTGTGTTAAGTTCTGCCAAATGTTATACCTAAAATATGTAATTTATGTCTCCAAATATATTTCATATGAACAATCAAAATGCTGCCGACACATATTAAGGAAAACACCATTATCATGACCTTCAATGATTGTAGTGGGAATTGGCAATTTGGGTTGTGCTTGTATTCAAAACTATGATGTTATCAGCATGTAAATCTGTAATGAGACATGATGTGAGACACTGACAAAGACATTGAGGACCAATACAAATATAATATTCTCAAACATAAAAAAATATACTGTAAAAATATAAAGTATATTGTATTGAAATGTACCGCAACCTATTATTATTACTATTGTTATTACTGCAAGGTAAATGTCGGTTCTTTGTAGTGCCATCTATATTCAATGCAAACTAAATAAAGCCTATGTTACACACTTAATGTCAACCACATCCCTGAGTTTCAACATTTCATTAAATCCTCTGTCAGGCTGTCATTAAATCTGACTGCCTTACTACACTTTAATGACATGTTACAATCCTACAAAAAGTGTTAGTTTGTTCAAATAGGCCTTGCAAACCTTTACTAGTTTCTTGTCTTCAAATCAGCTGTCTAATACTTGCCAAGATACTAATCATTAAGGAGATGCATTCTTGTTACAATCATTAAGTTGGCAGTTTGACTATGCACATAATAGCTAATTACCACCTGCAGATGCTCCATATTATCAACATATACTTGATAAATGTGAAGAGTTGTGATTTAATGAGAGGACATATGCAGTGCTGATAGTGAGTTGATTGAAGGACAGGCATGTAGATTTACAGTGTACTATAACATATAAATGGAAAATATGGCCATTGCTTAATAAAGGGGTAATACAGATCAGTGGTTCTCAATTGTGGCCCTGGGGACCCACAGCTGTGCATATTTTATATGTCTCCTTTATCTGAAACACCCAATTCAGTAACTTATCTTTACTAACGAGATGATGATGTGAATCGGGTGTGTTAGATGAGGGAGACACAGAAACTATGCAGAGCTGTGGCTCCTCAGGACCACGATTGAACCAGTGCTTTAGATGGACCCTGTAAAGGTGAGGGAGCTAAAAAATGTTCTTCTTCATGGACCATATCCTCCTGGATGTTCCAAAAAGGAGAAGTTCATTATTAAAAGAAGAGCTGAAAGCTATCTAATGAAAGGTAAGCAATAATAGAGAAAGGAAATTGGTATTCTAGTGACACAAGCACAGGAAGTTACCTGAGCCTTTGTGTTATCCACATTAGATGGCCTGCTTCACTATATATGCCACAGGCGCAAGCGAGGCAAACATTTGGCAAAAGTGGTGACGTCACCAGAGGAGGCAAATTCTGCTTTTGTTAACCTTCATGCCAGTGATCAGGGGGTCATTGTGGCATGGAGAAAACACTTGAAGCAATCAGCAGCAGATTATACTGGCCTGGATTGGAGAAAGACATCCGCAAATGGGTGAGTTTTATTCCAGTTTAATCATTTTTATTTTCGTTACACTTTATTTGCATTTGTCCGTGTTAAAGTGAAATTAAAGATTGAAGTACTGAGTAATATTAATTAACCACATGTACTTACTGGGGGGTTTTTGAATGGATCAGGATTTGGTTGAGGGTTAATTGCATGTAATTCTGCTTGATTTATAGTTACTACTATAGGAGATACATGTAAGGTGTGTTTTTAAGTGATCAGGTTCATTAATGACATAATTTTCATTTTTGGGTGAACTAACTAAAGCCATTATTCCAGATCTACAACCTGCCACTCTTTGTTTTGTTCTTTGATTGTGTATTTTTGAAGCACTACAAAATAAAACTGATCTGAACCTGAAAATATTATTCTGTTTTTAACAAAAGCCTAGTATACTTATTATCATTACTGAAATAATCAACCTCATATCCATAACTTGTGTATCATCACCACAACAGAAGTTCATTAAATGATAATTTAATTAATACAAAAATATTAGTTTGGTTATAAATGTATGCACAGAATCTACACATTATGTGTCAGGGTGTGGTTCAGGCAGAGGAACGAGGAGTCCGGAATATCGGTAAAGATTACTTTAAATATACAAAACACAGGCTGGAAGACAGGAATACGGGCACCACACAGGCTAACATCAAACATTGACCGACAAAGACTGACTGAATGAGGGAGAACTAAATACAAGCAGGAATCAGAAATAATGAGGTGAGAACAGGTGACACAGATGATAAAGACGAGGAACAGGTGGCTGATGAGGGAGTGAGTTCAGGAGTGGAGACAAGAGGATCCTGGGAAGTGTAGTGCTGATGACAAGACAGACTGGTGCAGACGGAGGACTGTGACATTATGATCTTTCAGGTCATATCATTGTGAAAATATATTTCCATTGAATTATATAAAAATTGTAGATTGTAAATTGTAGGAGCAAGGTGTTGCAGGAAATGAGAGAAATCACACAAAAAAACTTAATTTAAAAATAAATATTATTTCAGAGTTAAGTAAATGTGCATGACTGTTAATAACCCATTTTTAAAGATATGTGAAAATGTTTGCTATTCTAACAGTGTTGATGTTTTCAGACTGTTGCGTTAATGAGATTTTTTAGGACAGGTTTTGGAAATTATGTTTAAAAAAGTCTTAAATTGTAAGTAAATGTTATTAAAGTAATGTTCATGAATCCTCCAGACTTTGTTTGTAATGTCTGAAAACATCTGTGAAATATTTAAAGCAAGTTTAAGTGTGAATCCCCCACTCATACAGCACAGTAGTATTTCCCTCAGGACACAGTCGTACGACCACAGTCCACCGTGAACGGCTCAAACAGTTCATCTGAACACCAGTAGTGTGTGTGTGAAACTGGATTCAGCCCTAGCACTGATCTGATCAAGTGCTTCAGTGTGTACTTCAGCTTTGCAGTGTCAGTGTGAACGGATGAAATGAAACGAGCTCTTGCCAGTAGAAGTTCCAGTCGTCGCTGTCCGTCACCTGGATCCATCCTCTCTTCTCAAAGTTATTGATCAGCACCGATTTCTCCATGTCCGTCACCCACTTCACCTTCCCAGCCATCACACACACACACACACACACTCCTGAGAAACACACACCACCTCCGTCAGCTCTAAACACTCATAGCAGCTCAATCACTGTCAGATTATTAATGGGGTTCGGCTAAACAAATATAATAAAACAGAAATAATACTTTGGTAACACTTTACAATAAGATCTCGTTAGAAAACATCACTTTTAATAAGTTTAAAACACAACTGTTCAATAATGGTCCATTAAAGGAGAACTCCGGCGAACAATGAACATTTGGTCTAATAAAACATCGGTACATAGTCAGCCGTTCTCTGAGATTTGTTTTCATGATAATCGAATGTAAAGAGTTTTATCTCTAAAAACTGTTTAGCGTATAACGCTAGCAATGGGGGCATTGACTAAGTAAAAAGAAATCGCTAGTTTATACCACTAACAAGGCTCAAAATAGCCCCACACTAACGCAGTAACATAATGAGGCTCCATACATGCAAAACGAAGCATTGAGAACTTTGTAAGTGTACAGACCGTTTAATAAGAAGATACTTTATGAAGACAGTTCACTTCGCGTATACAGACAGGAGCCATCTTAAAAAATAGTCTCGATAAGTCAAACCACAATCGTCGTGCTGAGTGATCTGAGCTGTATGAAGTTCAGCGAACTTCTGACGGCGTTCGGGGATCGACTTATCGAGACTATTTTTTAAGATGGCTCCTGTCTGTATACGCGAAGTGAACTGTCTTCATAAAGTATCTTCTTATTAAACGGTCTGTACACTTACAAAGTTCTCAATGCTTCGTTTTGCATGTATGGAGCCTCATTATGTTACTGTGTTAGTGTGGGGCTATTTTGAGCCTTGTTAGTGGTATAAACTAGCGATTTCTTTTTACTTAGTCAATGCCCCCATTGCTAGCGTTATACGCTAAACAGTTTTTAGAGATAAAACTCTTTACATTCGATTATCATGAAAACAAATCTCAGAGAACGGTTGACTATGTACCGATGTTTTATTAGACCGAAGGTTCATTGTTCGCCGGAGTTCTCCTTTAAATAATGTTAACAGAAGCAACTGTTGATTTAATAATGTATTAACAAATGACATAAATAACATAAAGATGAACAGATGTACTGCTCATTGTTAGTTCATGTTAACTAATGAAAACTCACTGTAAAGTTTTACCAATATCATAAATACTTTGATTAGATATTTCTATAATTACACTTAGTTTGTCATTAAAACACACACTCATGTGTGTCACATTATCATTCAGTGATGTGTTTGCTAATCTATCAGATGTTCATGTGTGTTTAGAGGAAGATTTCTGTGTCGAAGTGCTAAAACAGATTCTTATTGAACACAGATGATATAAACTACAGGCGCTGCTCGTGCGTCTCATTATAAACTGACAGACTACAGATCA